TGTATGCGTATGCACCATTATATAGAAGTGCAGTCTGAATTGTTATGTGTTTTCTTTTTCCCTCTTGAATATTTTGATTTACATTTCTACATTAATGTATAGCCATTATGTTGATACATGTACCTTAGAGGTTTTCCTCATTTTAATATATAAGATACACCTCATCTATCTATATATATAAACTTTAAGTTTCTTGCATCACCCTGATGCAACAAGTCAAAAGTTACCCCCCCCACCACCACCAAACCCCCCCCCCCCAGTTTCCCAAACACTGAAGAGGAGTTGGGATTGAGGGGGATCGCAATCGAATGAGCCATATTTTTACTTTCTATATGTCCCTTTGTTTTGGTTTTGTTTTGTCACATCAAATAGCCGGGGATATCAACAGGACTTTTTGTGGGGGGGACTTTAATTTCTTGATTTTTAAAACCGCCAATAAAGCTCCAACCCTCCAACAATTTAGTGGGGAGACTCTTTTTGCAGGGTGGAACTTTTATCAGTCTTTTAAAAATCATGAATTCAAAGTCCTGAATATTCATTTTGTGGGGCATTACGGTGGAGGGAGGGAGATCTGCCAAAGTAACACTATTAAATGTTGTAAACAAATTTCACTTAACATCTGTAAATTCCATAACAGTACAATTATCTGTCTTTCCTTCCCAGGCATCTTCCAACATATCCACTAAATCATTCAAAGTAAGCTGCTGTGGGATGGCAGGATGATCAATGATCAATCAAACAAAAGTACAGACAACCATTTCTCTGTTGTCATACTGGCAAACCTTTTTACAGAAAATTAACACTCACCGCATTAAATATCTTAAATGGACTTGTCCATCTTTCAATATGGATTATACCACTTATCATCTTTAGGAGAAACTTAGAATATGTATTAATGCCTGAATAGTGAACAGTGCAAACCATGATCAAACAGGCAGAATGCAGGCTCAGATATAGGTCTGCACTGGTGGTAGGGATAAAATCTGTTGACACCAGCAGGCAGGCATAAAGGGTTAATTATATCACCCATTGTGTTAACAAAATATTCTTTTGTAAGATTTCTTTTTTTAATTGCCCCTTTCTATTCAATAACAGTCCTTCATATGATATGTCAGAATATACTTAACAGCCATTTAGAATTTTTTTTTTCTAAAACATTTTCTTTTTCATTCGGTTAAAATTTCCTCTAAATAAATGAAATTCCAGTACGTTCGTCTTCTAACGATCAAAATTAGAATGAATTATAATGACTGTATGGTATGAATTATCCAGTATTTAAGAAAATATTCTTTCAAATATTTCTATTCAATTTTTTCATTTATGGATTCCCTAATCAACAGCTTTAATCAATTTTCCACGGACATTTAAATTCCAGAGATTAAAATTAGTGACAAGCTAAAGCTTTATTTTTCAGGTGACATTCAAAAATAAAATCATCTCTATTCAACAGTATGGTACAAAAATATTTTGAAAAACATGAAAAGATTATCATTAAATAGATAAAAAGAAGTGCAAACCAAGCCGGGATTATAATGTTGTGGAATTTGAGGGACGGAAATGCAATCCGACTTATTTATAAATCTCTTGTATTATCAACCATATATCTAAAATTTAAAGGAAAAATTTTAAAGATCTCAATTTATGGGACAACAATCGGTTTCACCGTCCATCTTTCTTTTACATACATTTGTAGGTTTTCAGTTGCATAAATTTTTTGAACTTTAACAATAATGACTTGCACCATTTAAAACACAAAATTTGTCACCATAGTGCAATAAATGGTTATTTCCTATTAAATTCAGAAGGACTTAACCTGTTACTGCACTAATATCAGGTGACAAAATATTCAACTGGACACACTCTATACAAGTGTAAACTGGCTACTTTAAGTTGATATATGAAACTGACCCTTAAATTAACAATGGACTGTTAAAAGTTCACAGCATAATTATAAGGTCATATGAAAAATGAAGCAAGGAAACTGTTATGGTCATCCTCGGTAACCCATGCGTTCTCATTAGGTATACACTTAATTAGCATGCGATGAATGTAGTTAAGCAAAATCGGTACCATGTTGGTTCCAAAGATGGTTATGGTAAATTTTTGTGATGCCAAGATTAAGTTTCTGATTTATTTTAGGTCTTCTAATGCTAAATGTGTGCATCTCCTACAGAACAATTAAAAAACTCCTAAAACAAAAGAATCCTCATCATTAATGCAGAAGTTACATCATCATTTCCTATACAATGCTTCAACATTCAATACCTGAAATCATCACATTTTAAATGCTCACAAACCATAACAATATAAACCAATGTAAATATTAAGTATATATGTTGTATACATCTACCTGACCAAAACATTTATTTAGTCAAATTTCACACATACTTGACATAGCCTTAGGATATTGGAAAGTACATTTTTGCAATTTATTTGTGTATTAACAGCAGAGTCAAATGATCATAGGTGAAATGAATTAACTGGAGAACACACACACAGTTTTCATATATAAGTATGATGCTTTAATGATATAATATATATAGGCACCATTAAGGAGATACTGAATTGGCCGGTTATATTAATCAATAAATATCTACCACACATCATGATGTTCCTTATGAATATAAATTACAGACTGTGTGTCATAAACAAACATTTCTCGAAAAAAATTATAAAAATGTTCAACTTGATATAAATTGATAAAATTTTTTTGTTAAACTTGATATATGAATTGTCATTTTTCAACATTCAGGACAATATCTTTTCGGTTCAAATTATAGATTTAGTCAACAGTACCTGCTTTTATCTATGCCCAGCACGACTGCCAAACTAATCAAAGTTTTATTGACAAAGTTTATTTACATTACATATTATCACCTAAATGATCCGCCTTACACTTATTCAAGTTCTTACAATATTTGTCAAAAGAAGTAACGTTTCAACATTTATTCAAGCGACAATACTGGAATTCAAATCCTCTCTCAATACATAAAAAGACTTATTTAACATAAGCCGCCAATTGGAGTGCAAAAGTGTAAAAGGTAATAAAAGAAAATAGCCGTCTCAAATACTTGTGGTTTAATGTTTAAAATGGGACATTTCCTTGCATAATGATGTACCATCAAATAGTTACTCTTTCGACATGAAAATGACATAAATTATGTCAACAGTGTCATAAAATAAAACAGAAAAAGTAAAGTTAAAACTATTTTGATATAAATTATATTTGAACTAAAACTTTACCTTAAAGTGACATTATGCTCATATTTTCATCATCAAGTTGAGCTAAATTAACTTTATATTTCAAAAGATTGACTGTCAAAATGGTGATTGACCAACAGTTGATATTGGAAAATGTTATGGGTAAAATTATAAATCTGTCTAAAATTTAAAAAGACTGCCCCACTCTTTTTATAAACTAAGCGTTATAGGTAAATTCTTATGGATATTTACAGAAATTTCTTGTGGATCTGTGAGTTATACAATGTTTATGCGAACTTATTTATTAAATTAAAAGGAATAGCGGAAATTTTCTTTAAATAGAATAGAACTGTCAAAGGGCAGGGTTTTCATTTTTATATGAGGCAACAGATGTGCCAACAAAAACAACTAATTTCACCAAGGGTCGAGGGGGATACTTAAATCTACAGGCTAAAAATACAATTGAATTTTAACAGCATTTCAACCAATGATAATTGATATGTAATGCCAGTATGTTCATAATGAAAACCCTGATAGAGTGAGAAAATGTTAGTTTGCAATCTGTCCTGCAGCATTACCAACTAAGCTACCCAGCCATGTTTTCTCCCAAATAAATAAACACTTCTATACCATCACAGAGTCCTATAGAAAACCTGTCACTGGTCCATTAATATTATTATTGTACTAAATCATACAAATATGCAATTGGTGTTACTCAACAGGTTGAACTGTTATTTACAACTTAAGATTAAAACATTCCTATCTTTTCCCTTGATATGCAAATCTTAAAATTTATGAAGATTACTACTTGCTAAAAATATATCAAAATGTGTTCCCAAACTGCATTGATTAATAAATTTAGTCATGATAGAGGGTCTGTCAATGCAAAATCTCCCAATCACATCCCAAAATAGTTACTTTTATTCAAGTATGGTGCTGTCCTTTAGACTCCTTCCATGTTTCTATATGGAGCTATGTACATTGTATGCAAATTAGCACAGATTACTGCGAAGCTAAAAGGGACACCATACCCGCAGAGTACAGTCAGTACTTTATCAAAGTTTACGATAAATAACCAAACAACAATGAACAATGTTAAAGTAGGTCTTTAAGAATATTGTATCATAAAATTAAATCCATGGGTATAAAGCATGAATACAGTGTATGAGACCATGTATGAGAATTTTAAAATAGATGCCACATAAGATAAATTGTATTTGTAATGATATTTACATTGTATATATACATGTATTTATGTTAATATAAGTAAGATTACAATAATAAAAATCTTGAAGTATTTTTTCGCTGCTTCAAGGCATCATGTCATTTCTGATCATATCTTTGGTACATTTTGTTTGTATTTTCTGGAGATACATTGTGAATAATCTACTTTGAAACATTTAAATTTATCTTTATCAATATTAAATAATAATACAAGTAAATAGAAGTAAAAGCCTCCAAACCAAGTGAAGTCTATTTGATTTGTACCAGGGGGCAATAATTAACTATATGGTACAAGTAAATTAAGAGATGAACCAAAAAATTATTCTTAATATATCAAAATAACATAATAAATTGAGCCGCGTCATGACAAATCCAACATAATGCGTTTGTGACCAGCATGGATCCAGACCAGCCTGCGCATCCACGCAGTCTGATCAGGATCCATGCTGTTTGCTTACAAACCCTATAGCAAGTTGAGAAACTGACAGCGAACAGCATGGATCCTGATCAGACTGCGCAGAGGCGCAGGCTGGTCTGGATCCATGCTGGCGCGGCTCATATTATAATGTAGCTACCTGAAAACTTCCAAAACAGCTTCCACCGGGCAGAGATACAAAACACACATATGGTGGGGCATTAGATGGCTGGGATTCGTACACAACAAGAGCCCCATTCTTCAGGTCTGCACCACGATCCTGCTTCATCTGCCAGAACTCCTGCAGTGCCTCCACTACATTAACTGTAAACAACAAAATATTGCATATAATAAATTTTTTCTTTTATTGAACAATGCAACACTGTATTTAGAAATAATATATAATCGGGTTTTTTTTACATAGTTATATATACATATACATGTAACATTCACGTATGATATACATGTAGCAGCATTTACAACATTTGGGTATAACTAATTGACAGCCAGACATCACTTAATATTTTTAAAAATTGCCAATCAGAATGACTTCAAGATTCAGTGATTAAGGGCGGTATTTATCACTATAATTTTACTGCATTAGTAACGCAGTAAGGGCTAATTTTGCTTATTTTGACCTTTTGACCAATATTAATCTTTTTTAAAATGTTCATCCTCCATATATATTATTCTAAGTATACAATTTATATGAGAAATGTTTACGAAATGAGATTTTTTTTCCAATGCCATCTGACTAGACTTTCAAATATTTAAAACATGTTATTAAGTTATTAACATACACATATCAAGTAAAATATAATAATTCAAAATTAACTCCTATTCCCCCCATATAATAAAAGCCAAACAGCAGACAAAATTTGAACTGTTTTGACTTGTTTCTTTAAATTAAAAGAAATGACAGGTTGCCAGTATATAATAATAAAATTATATACATGTACATGTACACATAAACAAATCTTTAAAGTCATCAATAAGGTACAAAGTCCCCAAAATGTTCAGCTGCAGGGGCTTTTCCTAAATATACCTGAAATGGGCCTTATAGTCAAGTCAAGTATAGCTTACATGTAGTTGAGATTTTCTATCAAAGTATTTTTACAAATTAAAAAAAAAATCCCCAAAACATTGCAAACATACATCATCATCATGTTAATTACAAAACTTTTGATATTAACATTTTACATGCCAAAAAGTCATCAATAACAAAATAAAACAACCTGAAAATTCAACTGATTTAAAAAATATGAACTGAGATGCCATTCTCAAAAAATGTTTGCACTACAAAGAAGTACACATTAACTGTGAAGATACATCGTATATCATTAAAGTTGCACAATAATTTGCAACGTTACACTCTGGAATTTTCTCCTAACAGCTCATTAAATATGCAAATAATGGCGCACAAATTGAAGATGACTGTACAGGCAAAAGTGTGAGCGAACAAGTACAAAATGTCTCCTACAGGGGGGATAGACCACAATTTGTAACAAAAGCAACCATTGATTTACATCTCGATAACAGGCTCAGATTACTCTTGATTATTGCCAGTAATAATAACATTGTCACCTAATATAGGCAGACGGTTAGTTTTCCTTTTTGTAAAGTTTTTGTGTCATTATGCTACAGCTTTGAAAAGAAAAACCTAAAACTATTGTCGTAAAAAAGTAAATATTTTCTTTCACCTTAGACAAATCTTTTGTTGGAGTAATTTAAACCTTTAGTAACAGTAATTTGTTTACTTGTATCATCGTCCATCAATAATTATCTATAGAACAAGGACATCCTGCCCATTTAGCGGACTGACAAATATTTTAAAAATTTCTACTTGTGGTTATAACAGTTGATATTCTAAATTTTCTATTTCTTAATTTTGCTCTAAAATACTAATTAGTATAATTATTTATTACATGCTTTTCGGTGGTTTATAGAAATATATCAGTGAAATAAAAACTGGTAATTTCACTGTTTTAAACAGTGAAATTACCAATTTGATAATTTCACTGTTTTGAATTTAAGCCCGTTACGTTGTTTTAATGAAATACCAGCGTGCACAGTACTGAGAACCAGCTTAATGACGTGACGTCATAACTGACGTCACGTTGTATTAGTATTTGGCGCGCTTTTGATTTAGTACTAGGTTAAAAAGTCTTTTTAAACGTTTTTTTTTTGCATGTAATAAAAAGAAAATTTGTTTAGTTTAGTGTAAGATTGAAATATATTTCACCTCGTGAACACCAAAAGTTCATATTTCACTCGTGGCTGCGCCACTCGTGAAATATACATTTTGGTGCTCACTCGGTGAAATATATTCCGATCTTACGCTGAACTAAACAAATATCCTCCATGTAATTAAATAAGTGTTACTTATCATTAGTATCAATCACCTGACATATTTTACATTTCTAACAGATTCGCAATTCATATCATCGGTTTAAATGACGTTAAAAGCTGTTGTACATTGTACATGTATTTTCAGTCTGTATATGTAGATTAAAATTATAATATATCCCCCTTGACCCTTGACCAAATTGATTGTTTTATGTTAGCACATAGATCTGTTATCTTAGATAAATCTGAAGACCCCGTACATGTAAGGACTGCAATGATATTGTGTTCCAAAATTTGAAAATTAGATTTAGAGACTAAAAAATCTCTGACATTGAAAGTTACATTTTAAAGGTAAAGAATGAAAGGCATAACATGTGCATTTTGGAAGTTGCAAGCCAAAATCAAGGAGTAAAATAACTAAATAACTACCACTCTAACTCCTTCTACCCACAGACTATTAATATAAAAGGCCCTGTAACTGACCCTACCTCAATGATAAATTCAAAATCTAGCTCCAGTTTCCAGATATTCTCTGAGAGACAAACTGATAGTGGCCACTGGCTACCCTATAAAATTGTAAATGTATGACTATCTCAACTTTATCTCGATTGCTGATATCAAGTCATACTCAGAAAGCAATTGTTGATATCAAGTCATACTAAGAAATCAAATTCAATTGTTGATATCAAGTCATACTCAGAAATCAATTGTTGATATCAAGTCATACCCAGAAATCAATTGTTGATATCAAGTCAAACTCTGAAATTAAGGTAACTCGTAACCAACGCTGAAAAGCATTTGACTCCAAATCAATCAATTGAGAAGTTGCAGCACTTTGAAATCAATTTTGATGGAAAAAATCAACGCAAAATAGTGATTTTTGGCAATTTTGAGATGTCCCCTCATTGCCATGGTAACAGGAAATTTAATCCCTAGCATGTTGTTACAAAGGCAATGGTCCAGAAGTTTGATTAGCATTGAAGCAGTTTTTATAGTTGCATAGCAATCTGAACTTGTAACGGGAGACTTTTCAATGAAAACAGCCATTTTTCACAAAATGCTCATGAATGAAGTAATGGGTTAAAAAAATTTTGGATGGTTTATTAATTATTGTTATTTTCTTATATGAAGTGGTTAAAGGGGTGCAGGTACATATTGTGGCACATACAGCTAGCTTATACACACTGTATATCATTAGCCTTGAAGTACAGAATTTTTTTCCTAATAAAAAAGACAATGATAAAGTCAGTAACTTGCATCAGGATCATTTATTATATACAAAATAAATACACTGCTTGCATTTTTAATTCATACATGTACACTACATATATAGATTATAGGTAAGCCAAAAATACGATGGTTTGGCTAGCAGTATGGGCCTGTACAGCTGCAGCTGTAATCCAATTAAGTAGACTTATAACACAGAGACATTGTGATAATTTTTGATGGACAATGGCCAGGAACTGCCTTTCTTATAATTATCTTCCTTTAGAAATGCAAACTATGTGAAGTATTTATTAATTTTATAACAGTATTATAAGGTAAAAGGGTCAGCTCGGTGCTACATTAACTTGACACAGGTTAACTTGGCCTCTAATACAAAAACTTATTAAGATATAGATTCTTTACAGAGCAACAGATAAGGTGCGTATTTGCGTATTTACGCAATTAATTTTATAAAATACGTTATTGATTTTTTAAAAATGGGTATCAAAACCCATTAAAAATAATAAAATACACAATTGTCTTAAAAACCTGTGCGTATTGTCATTTTCATCAACGCAAAATTTAATCTTTTGTACGCCCATAGTTTTAGACAAATTATATCGATATGCATGCTATCCGAATATTCCTGAATCAATGCTAACTAATCAACGGTCTCCGGTCTTCGACGGTCCCCGGTCTCCAAAGACCGACTAAGCCATATCAATAAAGCATGAGACCGTTGATTTGTCTACTCAGGTTTACGGTCTTTACAGACTGGCAGAGACCGTTGATTTTGCGGAGACCGTCAATAAGTAGGTCCCAGCTGTATCAATAGACGCTTTGAAAGCAATATGGCGTCGTACAAAAGGGAAAATGATTTGAAACAAAACAGTCGTAAATCAAAAATCAGTCAGAAAACGAACTTGTTAAAAATATTATGAAATATAACACGAGCATTTTATATAAAAAATAAAACAATTGTGAAAAGTTCTAGCAAATGGTTAATCCTATTTTCTTTTTAAAAAAGTTTAAATTTTATTGATATTGAAACCATAAAATTCATATCTTCATAATTGAATACCCAATTAATCTTGAAGTCATAGGGTATTGAGTTTTGGAATACCCAATTAAATGGAGCCAATACCCAATTCCCAATTCACTTTAAAAGCTTATCTGTTGCTCTGCTTTAGTTAACTTGTATGTTTAAAAGAACAAATAACCTTAATTAGAGAAACATAAAACACAGTCATGTACATTGTATTTCAATTTAACAATCTTGTAAAAAAATATGAAATAAAGACAGCAGCGAAATGCTTGAAAGACATTTTTTTGTATTCTTTATTTCTCTACTTTCATTGATCAGTAAAACTTTTAATAAATACCCATTTATTAAACTTAATTAGTACTACATACATGTATGTATAAACAGTTCTAAAGATGTTAAGTTAGGCAATAAAAGGATGAATCGATGAATATAGAAAAATCATATCAGTAATAATTACCAGTCAATTATAATTTTGGGACATGTTGTCCAGTGACAAGTAAGTCTAGGGCCAAAATGACCCAGGGTCCGGCTTAGTTTTAGCAGGGTCTTTCAAAATGAATTTTTAAAAGACTCTGGTTTTAGGTACGACTTGACCCGTGACAATTAGTCTAGGGCCGATGAGCCAGGGCCAAACAAGGGGCCCGTGTTAGTTTTAAGGCTGAGTTGACCCGGATTCATTTATAAGTTTTAACATGTATATTACCTCTGCCGTAACCTTGTGTATGCTTTGCGAAACTATTCACCACAGCATCTACAGCTTCCTTCAATACAGTTTTTGCTTTTGTGTCATTCATTGAATGTGGATCTTGACCCCTCATAGACATGGCAGCTGCAGCCATGGCTTGGGCAGATCTCGACCCTATAGAAGTTGGGTCTGCCATGTCTCTTCGTGAAGAAATCTCAGGCGATATACCACTTCTACGCGCTGGCACAGGTTTTTGCCTATTACTGAAATCCTGTGGATATGATGCCATTTATGTACGGATTACATGTTTATTACTTGAATAATCATCAAATAGACATTTATGATAATCAATTATTCATTATCTCCTTTTCAAAATTTTACACTCCACACAGGAAACAAAAGTTCTCATCAAAAATGAGTCACTAAATTTAATATTCTGGAGAAATACTGAACTTTTAACACAAATAATCTATTTAAATAAATGCACACACTTATCCTTCTATTAATCGCACATGTAATATTCGCTGAATACTCCCAGAGAAGATTATATATCGTAAATTGCTTGAAGTAAAATTGAACGAAACACACTGTCAACAAATTTCCGTGACCTATGACCTTAAATTCACTGCGGATCACAATCGAAACTTCCGTTTCGAAGAGAATATAAATTGAGAAAAAAAGTCTTAATTTTTTGTAAATATCAATAAGAAAAAACGTAAAAGTAAATTATGTATTCATGCTTATGTTGTTACTCTCCTATTACATTTTTAAAAAAAGATAATAATCACAAAACGAAAGTAGAAAACGGGCAAGATGGCTGCGCCCATTGATTTCTAAAATTTTTACAAAAATTAATTGATATATGACACAGAATATGTTAACAGAACGACCCATATGATACATGTTTCAAGCTATTGAAGCATGACATTTCATTTCAAATGAAAATTGCATTTCCATTAATGAAACATTCAACAGATAAAATAATGGAAACAAATAGTTAAAGGGAGATAATCAAATTAAGTTACATAAGCTGATGATTGTCCTAATTCATCATAGAAAAGCCGTAATTATATAGTAAGTAATGTTTTTAAACATGATTTCTATGAAAGCTAATCCCCGTTACCTGAAACAGTCTCACAGTTAAACAGTGTTAAAGGACAGCGTGGTATAGTATGTTAGTATCACAGTTATAGGCATTTGTACATACATCAATCACACAATGTTTCCATAACTTGCAAATCACACTGAGTCATCTAGTGTGAAGTAGGGCTATCATTGATGGAATATTTTGTATCGATATATTGTGAGAAAAAATATCATTGATAATTATCACTTATTGTCACTACTTATTTTACTGAATAGTCACAGATAGTAAATATAATATTATAGCCATGAAATTCATTTTTGCATTGCTTAATTGACCCATTCATTTTTAACTCAATTAAAATATTCTTGAACAGTCTTATAAAACTTAATTATTGGTTAATTTTTATGCTAAAATTCTTCTCATTAGTATTTGGCACAGGTTGTGATGCTTAAGTTCTTCCCATTTATAATGATGCTTCTGTGAAAGTTAATTCATTTTAGTATTGAATACCTTGTAGTTGTACCTTTGCATGAAGGTGTATCATGATGACCCGAGTGAAGTCTCAAGTGAACTGAAGGGCAGGAAAGTTTGCAATGCACGTGTGCAGAATTATGCCCCCTTATCCTACTTAGCCTTCATTTTACTTTCCAACACTGGAAACAGCTATTGCTGTCTGCTGGCAGGTTGTGTTTCTAGATGTTCTCTTGTTCACTATAATGATATTATCATGAGTATCACATGTTATTTTTGGTGTCTTTTAATTTAGGCACAATTATTGTGATCTCTCAAAGATATTTATAATAAGGTACTGCAAGAAATACTACACCATTTTTTAGTTAAGTTGTAATGTCTATTTTCATGTTAAAACCTTAATTAAAAAATTATCTTGAATATTATGTATGTATTTCTTCAACATTTTTTTGTTGGTTCTTATGTGAATATAAATTTTAAAAAGATAAAGAAGAAAGACAGGCATAATAGCTCTTAGCCTTGATCTATGAGAACTATTTTCTGCAATGATCATTCACTTAAACTTTATTTTTTTAACTTTCTATTAGTTTACAGAAACAAATAATAGAATTGTGAAACACTGTGATTGGCATTGAAGTAACCCACTGTAAGAAAATGTCATCAGGAACATCAGTGGCCGTTATTGGTGGGGGCATTGCAGGTCTTGTATGTGCAAATAGATTGTCACAGCTCGGAATAAACAACACAATGGTATTTGATACAGGTATGTTCAAATTAACATTGGAAATGTTATACATTTGTAATATATTCATCAATAAACAGTGTTGTTATATCTAATACTATATTACTGTAAATAATTATTATAACTATTTATGTTGTTTCAAACCTTTCAATATAGACTAATCTACTTTAAGATATAAAATGTCCATCTTAAAGACTAATGAAAATTATTTGATATTTTAACACTTCCTGTATTGTTTAAAACAGGATCTTTCAATAAGAATAGTATGGGAGATAGCATATGTGTTGATACAAACACTGGTGAAACTGATGAATTAAACATAAAATCAATAAATTCACACAATAACATGTATTTTAAGGCATATTTATCATAATTAAATCATCAACCATCTAACTTTTATGAAAGTTCCATGTAAATTTTAGAAATTATTATGGCAAATAATAAATGAATCCATAATAATAAATAGGTATGAATGAACTTGATTTTTTTTAAACAGGTAAGCATGCACCTGGTGGGCGTTGCTCAAGTCGTCAAGTCATGATTGAAGGCAGAGCATGTGTATTTGATCATTCAGCGCAGTATTTTACCGTGACAGATTCAAGATTTGCAAAGATAGTCTCGTATCTTCACAGAAAAGGGGTCGTTAAGACTTGGTGCGGAAAAATAGGACATTTAAAAACAGGAAAATTCTCAGAGGATAAGACTTTGACGCAGGCTTTTATAGGGGTCAGCGGTATGAAGGATATCCCACAATGCCTTGCCGAAAGTGTGAATCTTAAACAGTCGACATGGGCGGGAAATATCAGTTGGGAATCGGAATTAAGAAAGTGGCGCGTAGATAGACATGGGTACTTTGATTACTTAGTTATAGCTCACAACGGAAAGTGTGCGGATAAGTTAATGTCGAATGCAGGTGCGCCACAGATTCATAAATTGACTCAAGTGCGTTTCTGTCAGCAACCGGATATGAAAGACAAAAGAATGCAGTTGTGCTCTATTTGGGCGTTACTTGTGTCCTTCAGTACATCATTGAAGCTTCCTTATGAAGGTAATATGGGCATGAAAATGATTTTTATGCTCCCCGAAAAATTTCAGGGGGGGGGGGGAGCATACAGTCGCCGCCTTGTCCGTCCGTCCCCTTTTCTTGTCCGGGAAATAACTTCGAAACAACAAGAGGTATCAATATGAAACTTTGTTTATTTTTACACTTTGAACTTTGTCCGGGACATAACTCTAAAAGTATAAGAGGTATCAACATGAAACTTTGTAGGTAGATAGATCTCATTGAGTAGGTGTGCAGTGCACAAGAACCGTAACTCTGCCTTGCCTAATTTTTGAATTATTCCCCTTTGTTTATTTTACACTTTGAACTTTGTCCCGGACATAACTCTAAAAGTATAAGAGGTATCAACATGAAACTTTGTAGGTAGATAGATCTCATTGAGAAGGTGTGCAGTGCACAAGAACCGTAACTCTGCCTTGCCTAATTTTTGAATTATTCCCCTTTGTTTATTTTCACACTTTGAACTTTGTCCAGGACATAACTCTAAAACTATAATAGGTATCAACATGAAACTTTGTAGGTAGATAGATCTCATTGAGAAGGTGTGCAGTGCACAAGAACCGTAACTGTGCCTTGCCTAATTTTTGAATTATCCCCCTTTGTTAATTTTTACTCTTTGAACTTTGTCCGGGACATAACTCTAAATGTATAAGAGGTATCAACATGAAACTTTGTAGGTAGATAGATCTCATTGAGTAGGTGTGCAGTGCACAAAAACCGTAACTCTGCCTTGCCTTATTTTTGAATTATGCCCCTTTGTTTATATTACACTTTGAACTTTGTCCAGGACATAACTCTAAAACTATAAGTGGTATCAACATGAAACTTTGTAGGTAGAAAGATCTCATTGAGTAGGTGTGCAGTGCACAAGAACCGTAACTGTGCCTTGCCTAATTTTTGAATTATTCCCCTTTGTTTATTTTTACACTATGAACTTTGTCCAGGACATAACTGTAAAACTATAAGAGGTATCAACATGAAACTTTGTAGGTAGATAGATCTCATTGAGTAGGTGTGCAGTGCACAAGAACCGTAACTCTGCTTTGCCTAATTTTTGAATTATTCCCCTTTGTTTATATTACACTTTGAACTTTGTCCAGGACATAACTCTAAAAGTATAAGAGGTATCAACATGAAACTTTGTAGGTAGATAGATCTCATTAAGTAGGTTTGCAGTGCACAAGAACTGTAACACTGTCTTGCCTACTTTTGGAGTTATTGCCCTTTGTTCATTTTGACACTTTGAACTTTGTCCGGGACATTACTCTAAAATCATAAGAGATATCAACATGAAACTTTGTAGATAGATAGGTCTCATTGGGTGGAAGTGCAGTGCTTAAGAATCATTACTCTGCCTTTCTCTTATTTTGAAGTTATTGCCCTTTTGTTTATTTTTACTTTTTGACTTTTGTCAATGCTTAAATGCTTAAAGAACCTAAACAAAGCCTGGTCTAATTTTGGAGTTATTGCCCTTTGTTCATTTTTGCACTTTGAATTTTACCCTGGACATAACTCTGATATCATCAGGAAACTTTATAGATAGATAGATCTTATTGAATAGAAGTGCAGTGCAAAAAAACATAACTCCGCCTTGCCTAATTTTGGAGTTTTTGCCCTTTGTTCATTTTTTTTATACCTTCCTGTGTCCAGAACCTTCTCAGGGAGCATCACCCGTTTCAACCGGTTCTTGTTGTAAAAAGCAGATGATGATTTCTTATACTATAGAAGTAAATATGTATTATAGTTTAATTCATAAATTTGATATAGAATCCCACTTAGTTATCGAAATGATTACTAGATAATGGTCTGGCGTGAAAAATGTTTCCTCTGATGCTTTGCGGAATAATGAGATATTGCCCAGTCACCTTTGTTCTCCAACTGTTATTCAAATGACTCGCATTTGGGAATTCATAGTATTTATAGTTTATGTGAAGACCATGTTTGAACTGCCAGCCTCCATCAGCACAGATAATTTAGTATATTTAATATTGGCAGTAACAAACTGGCACTTAGCTTTTAAAAAAAAACATCAACAAAAACGCAACATATCACATAATCTTCAAGGATTATGCTACCTATAAGTATATCCCCTTGTGGCTTAGGGGTTGCCTTTGGGTTGAGGCATCAGAGTTGCAGCCATGTTTATCCTTGTGTGATCCTAAGAGGCGACTACATGAGTTCGAATTACTGGAGTCACTGCATTTCTTAGCTCCAGCAGGTGATGTAGTTTTGACCCCTGTCATTGCTTAAAGTTGGTAAATGTTAACAACCATGGTTATACCTGTTTGGGCACCAGGAGACCTTAAACTTGTGTTAGTGTACCATAAAACAAAACAAACAGAAAATTGCTACCTATATGCAATGCAGCATTCTACAATATTGACACAGTTTCTATCTTGTTTTAAACAGTGCTTATAATCATTATTAAAGATTTTATGATTTGATTTTATTGACTTAATAGGAGTGCATGTTGAAGATGCAGACATATCATGGATGGCAAACAATACTGCTAAATTAAGAGACACTTCTAGACCACAGACTTCTACAAATGAATGCTGGACTATATTTAGTACAAGGCAGTTCGGATCTAGGTAAAATAAATCAAAACTTGTGCTATGTTTATGTGATAGAATTCAGTGATAAAAATCATTATTTATTATTATAATCTAATAATTTTACGATACAGGATTAATTTTTTAATAATTTTACTTCAATCAAGTGTCATTATTTGTCATTTTTAAATAAAAATACAAAAATGTATTTGGATTTTTCAAATCGCTCTTTCAATATAGGTTATAAATCTAAAAGGTAAGATATTTTTCATCAACAAAATATGGTGGGGGGGGGGGGGATGGCATTAAATGGAAACGGTATGGTACATGTATTTCATATTTTCATGTATATTATTGAATGCTTACAATAAGTCTACATTGGATATAAACTTAAGTTTATAAAATAAATGACTCCCCATATCCATCATTACAGGATCCAGTCATTAGAACTGGGCACATGTGTGTATAACATTTCATTTAAAATTACAGAAACAAATGCCCTCAAGAAAATATACCACCTAAGGTTGAGAGAGAAGTGACAAGTCTGCTTCTACAAGCTGTTAAAAGAGTGACAGGTCTCTCTGAATTACCTGTACCTAACTACACAAGGGTTCAACTGTGGGGGGCTGCAGTCCCCATGAATGTTTTAAAGGTTTGTCAGTGAAATGGTGTCTATTTTCTGTTTTACCTGTTCTATATTTTTGTGTGATGAATGTTTCATGTCCATTTTGTAATGAATGTACTTGTATAATTATGGTAATACTTCTTTGATAATGCTTATGACACTTTACTTTAATTCAAAGTGATACAATGTTGATTATATTTTGGTCTGGAGGCTTTGTAATGCAATATAACATAGTTGTTGTATTACAGGGAATTTTAAATTTATAATTTCATCAGCAGACTCTGGTAAGAATGCATCGATATGCAAGCTTGTCTGGTTCTATACTGATAGGAAACAACTGCCATATTTCGCAGATACAAATATATCCATTGCAAAAAGGGCTGACTTAAAAAAAACTCTAAATAATTTCTAGGAATACAGTATTAATTATATCATAGTCTGCTAGTGCTAAATGAGGAAAAACAAAAAAGGAAAAGGTATTTGTGGCTGGTCCCCAGGCTTGAGTGAACACAAAATTTATGATTTTGAATATGTCAATTTAGTTTGAAGAGACTCACTTTTGATGTCTTCATGGTCATAATGGTAGTTCACTGACCAAGAGCAATATTCTAGCATTTAATTTACTATCATCTTTCATTCTTCTTCAACTAAGCGTTCTGTTGGGTTGAAGTAGGATTCAACCTACAATCTTTGACTGCAAGCCAAAGTTTTACTCATGGCAAAGTAATAGTTGAAGTATTAAATGAGAATGAATTGATTATGTCCGATGTTTCAGACGAGGGAAGAGTGTGTATTTGATAGTCAACATAATGTTGGTATATGTGGAGATTGGTTGACTAGCCCATGCATTCAAGGTGCAGCAGTCAGTGGTCTTGCCTTGGCAGAAAAGATAAACAAACATTACACAGGTGAATGTTAATTTGAACTTTTCTGCTTTTTGCTCACTTTTGAAATCATTATAATAAATAGATGTACAAATTCATGTAATAATTCTTGTTTTGGTTGATTTTTACATTGCACCAACACAGTAAAAATAATTTGGCAATTCTCCAGCTTTAATGGTGGTTGAAGACCTCTGGTATTTTTAGCTCACCTGTCACAAAGTGACAGGGTGAGCTTTTGTGATCGCTTTTCGTCCGTCGTCCGTCCGTCATCCGTAAACTTTTACTTTAAATGACATCTCCTCATAAACCACTAAGCCAATTTCATCCAAACTTCACAGGAATGTTCCTTTGGTGGTCACCTTTAAAAATTGTTCAAAGAATTTAATTCCATGCAGATCTCTGGTTGCCATGGCAACCGAAAGAAAAAACTTTAAATATCTTCTTTTAAAAAACCATAAGAGCTAGAGCTTAGATATTTGGCATGAAACATCTTCTAGTGAATGTCTACCAAGTTTGTTCAAATAAAAGCCCTGGGGTCAAAATTGGGCCCCGCCCCGGGGGGTCATTGATTTTCCCTATATGCATATAGTAAAAACTTAAAAATCTTCTTTTAAAAGAACCCAAAGAGCTAGAGCTAAGATATTTTAGCATGAAACATGTTCTAATGGGTGTCTACCAAGTTTGTTCAAATAAAAGCCCTGGGGTCAAAATTGGCCCCGCCCCGGGGGTCATTGATTTTCCCTATATGCATATAGTAAAAACTTAAAAAATCTTCTTTTAAAGAACCCAAAGAGCTAGAGCTAAGATATTTAGCATGAAACATGTTCTAATGGGTGTCTACCAAGTTTGTTCAAATAAAAGCCCTTGGGTCAAATTGGCCCCCACCCCGGGGGGTCATTGATTTTCCCTATATGCATATAGTAAAAACTTTAAAAAATCTTCTTTTAAAGAACCCAAAGAGCTAGAGCTAAGATATTTAGCATGAAACATGTTCTAATGGGTGTCTACCAAGTTTGTTCAAATAAAAGCCCTGGGGTCAAAATTGGCCCGCCCCAGGGGGTCATTGATTTTTCCCTATATGCATATAGTTAAAACTTAAAAAATCTTCTTTAAAGAACTCAAAGAGCTATGGCTAAGATATTGAGCATCAAACATGTTCTAATAGGTGTCTACCAAGTTTGTTCAAAAAAAAAGCCCTGGGGTCAAAATTGGCCCCGACCCAGGGGGTCATTGATTTTCCCTATATGCATATAGTAAAAACTTAAAAAATCTTCTTTTAAAGAACCAAAAGAGTTAGAGCTAAGATATTTAGCATGAAACATGTTCTAATAAGTGTCTACCAAAAGTTTGTTCAAATAAAAGCCCTGGGGTCAAAAATTGGCCCCGCCCCGGGGGGTCATTGATTTTCCCTTT